AGCAGCAGACTCACCTGGTCAGTCAGGATTCAGCCATGGGAAACATCACTGTGAGTGACATCGACCTGAAGGGCAGTTATGTTCGTCTCAGCAACACGTCCAATAAGGTAATGCTGTGTGTGAATGAACACTGTGTGAGTTCTATATGAGCATGTGCAGTGAGATTCATAGCTGTACATTAGGAAAGTGTATCCAGGGATATTCCAGTGGGTCATTCAAACCCAGAGAGTGATTCTACCACAGCCAAATAAAACAAAATGACTCCCAGCAAACTGAGTCACACACTGTACAAACTACTGTATGTTAGACTTAAGATGTTTTGTGAATATGGAGAAGATGTAAATGTACCTTGTATCTCTTTGTCTCATCCTTTCTCTCCCGCTCAACGTTCCATTGTCAGGACCAACCATTGGAAGGCTGGGAAGTACACATACAGGTCAACGACAGAAAACCCATTGTGTACAAATTTTTCTCCTCATTCAAACTCGAGGCTGGAAACACTGTGACTGTGAGTGTTTCATGATTGTGTTTATTTTTCTCTTTGTTTCTTTGTTCTTTGTCATTTATTTAACTCTCCCTCTAACCCTGCATGGAGAAAGCTGTGAGTGAAACACTACTTGTGTGGTAAATCTGTGATGTTTCCTTCTTTCAGATCTGGTCTTCAGATCATCCTGGCAGAAACGACCCTCCCACTGACCTGGTGTGGTTTAGCCAGAAGTCCTGGGGCACTGGAGAAGAACTGCTGGTCACTGTCTACAACAACACTGGAGAGGTCTGACATCATCTCACATTTAATACATTACACACACCTGCCCACATAAAATCAGTCGACATTTTACATTCATGAAATATTTTACAGCCAACTGGGCAACAGGTAGAAGATAATCATTTAATCGTGATATTCCACATGATCACAGCTGATACTAAGTGCACACACATCATTTCAATCTGCATTGATAAAAGAGATGTTTACACACAGACCTAAGAACTGAGGCAGGAAAAAAAGACAAGTATAATCTCAACCAGATATGATTTGGGTCCCAGCTCTGAAACTGTGAAGACCTCTCATGCTGACAGTTAAGGTGCCAGTGAGTAAACAACGACCTGAATGAAGCAGCTCTCACAATAAAAACCTGACTTCAGCTCCATCATCAACCCTCTGTGTTCTTCTCCCATACGAGTGTAAAAGCACTCGTTTGTTACGTTTAATGCTTTAAAACTTTTAATCTATGTAAAGGAACTTTACATATGTAATAATAGACTTACTTTTTGTCCAGAGCGACGTTCAGCAGTTACGAGCCATCACGTGTTTTTAGAATCCATCGAGGAGGGAAGTAATCCATCAGGGAAACACTTCAGAAACATTATAAAGTGATAGTTGTACATTTTATCCACTTATTTCTCAAATACCTAAATAATTATTTACAGTTTTGGAAGCGGCGCTTGTTAGATGGTGGCAGCCATGTTGATTCTCTCGTCCAATCACAAATTGTGTTATTAGATGGTGAAACGCGTGTAAACAGCTGAACCAATGACCGTTGCAAAATAGCGGAAGCGATCCTCAGAGAGTAAATAATGACCAAAATAGTTATCTGTAGTTTACCGAACTAACTAAAAAGATTAGTTTGATGTGTTTATCTAAAACCCGCAAAATTTTGTGTTTGTGTTACCCGACGGGTACCCGCAAAAAGTGCAGGACTCTGCCCTGTGTCCACACACTCTGTTCTGTTGTTCACATACGTTTGGCCATAAATTGCAGTCATTAACTCAGCTGTTATACAGTGTTATTTTCTCTCTCTATCTTGTACCTATAGTACAACAACATTAACACCACTTTTCTCTATCACTAACAGGAAATGGCCAGGGTGTTGAAAACACCAGATACTACTGCTGTGTAATCCAGGAAACTTTAAAATACCAAGTCATCTTCCAAGTTTTATCTGAAGACACTAAAAAATGTATCTTTGTCATCTGATTTGGAATCAACCAAATGAGTCACACCTATCCTGTGAATATGACGTCCAACATTTTCACTTTTTTGTTTTTGTGGTGCATTGAACACTTTCCTTTTGAGGGATTTCTTGAAGGTGGAGAGTAAGGGGGGAGTATCTGATGTCTTTGGGGACTGATTTCCAGAGGGTGGGGGCAGCAATGGAGAAAGCCCTGCCCCCCAGGTGCAGTGTTTGGTTGCTGTCAGCAGACCTGAGGCAGTAGGAGGGAGTGTGCCGGTGGAAGAGCTCAGATGGATTGGGGGGAGCCAGATTGTGGAGGACTTTATAGGTGATGATGAGGAGTTTGAAGTGGATACGCTGGGGGATGGGGCGCCAGTGGAAGCTTTAAAGGACGGGAGTGATGTGCTCACAGGTGCGGGAGTGTGTGAGAACATGAGCAGCAGAGTTGTGAAAATATTGTAGTTTCTTAAGTGCTTTGGATGATGAACCGAAGAGGCGACTGTTGCAGTAGTCCAGTCTGGAAGTGATGAATGTGTGAATGAAAGTCTCTGCAGCTGAAAATGAGAGTGGTGGATGGAGAAGGGAAATATTTCTGAGATGGAAGAGGGATGTTTTGGTGATGTGTTTGATGTGTTGGTCAAAAGAGAGGGTTTGATCAAAGATGACACCAAGGTTACAGACATGGGGGAGGAGAGCACAGTGGAGCCATCAGTGGAGAGGGAGACATTATGGGTGGGTCTGATAAGAGATTTGGGACTGATGATGATGATGATTTCTGATTGTCACAGTTTAAGGAAAATTGGTTTGCAGCCAGGATTTTATTTCAGTGATGCAGTTGGTGAGGGTAGAGTGAGCGGCAGGAGTGATGGCTTTGGTGGAGTTGTGGAGCTGAATGTCATTGGTGAAGCAGTGAAACTGGAGCCCATGGTGTCGGATTATTTGACCAAGGAGGAGAATGTACAGGATGATAAGGAGGAGGCCGAGAACTGAACCCTGGGGAACACCTTGGGAGAGGGGAGCAGTGAGGGATTTGCTGTTGTTTATGCTGATGAACTTATGTCTATTGGAGAGGTAGGATTTGAGCCAGGAGAGGGCAGTGCTAACCTACTGTAGGTGCGTCATTATTAAAACAAAATATCATTCTGAAATGTCATAAAACTGTTATAAAGATAAACGGGAAAAATAAGCTCAAAATATAAAAGTTAGGTAACATAACTTTAGAAATTTTATCAGTATATTCACAGTAAATGTATATTAAAATCTGATTTGATCACTAAAAGCTCCACTGATTTCCTGCCCTTTGAGGTGGAACACAAATGTACATTTACAGCAGGGTCATGTCACAGCTGACCTCTGGATCTTCTTCACACTGAATATATTGTTTTGCCATTCTACCTTTTGTATCATTTGTAATTCATTTTGGATTTTTTTACATTATCTTTTCATAATAAAGAGATAAAGAGCCAAAAGTACATGTTTGATATTTTATTTCCAAGAGTCCTCATACTGATGAACATCATAACAATATTCACAAATATCAACATCCAAACATGTTTATTTATTTTTGTCAGTGAGATACAACTTTACACTTTAAAAAGAGAAACCATTTTGTATTTACAGAGTGCCATTTGTACATTGTTTGATGATTTGCAAAAGTTGTTATGCCGTTAAACTTTTCTCAACTGAGACCACAATCTTTTTTTTTTTTTTTTTAATGAGTATTTACAGGTAACTGCACACTGTGATACCGCCAATCACCAGGTTATCAGCTAGAGTTGCAGAAGTGTAACAGCTTTAAGGTATACCATGATTTCAAAATTGATGGTTATCAAATCGTGTACTTCTGTGTCAGTATCTATGACAGTGAAAAAAAATCTCACCTTAATTTTAGATCTTTTAAAAGGAAGAGTTTTTACACATACTTTCATAAAAAAAATGGTTTCAAGTTTAAATTATAGCGATAAATGTTCAACCTTTCCTTTCCTTTAAGGGTCATTCTGACTCTTAGAAATAATACTTCTGTAATATTGTGATACGTGACACCGCAGTATTTTCTAATCAGGTTATTGTACCATGAAAATCTTTTATCATTGCAACCCTACTATTAATATATGAGCATCACTGCATACCTTATAATTCCATATTTATACCAGAACCCTCTGCACTCTGCTCCATAACACTACTGTATTACTGTTAACAATCCCACTGTGTTGTTTTATGTATGTCTGCATGTATGTATAGATAGATAGATAGATAGATAGATAGATAGCCACCTCATCGACATACATATTTATATCTTCTCGTGTGGTTTGTGTCTAAGAAGCTGAAATCATCACCAGCATCTGTTGAGTCTAAAATAAAACACAGAACTACATGAGAAACCTTTCAGCTTTTCAAAAGGCTGTCTGTGGTTTTGAACCTTTTTCTGTGTGAGAAAGTCTCACAGCTGCTGCAAGTATCAACATGTGATGAAGAGAAGTTTGACACCTCACAGCTGTACATGACTTCTTAAAAAAGTAAAAACAGATAGAAATACAATTTAAAACAATCTCAGTGATGGCTTTTAAATTGTTTTTTGTTTCTGTCTTTCCAAGTTTTCCAGACCCAACGCATGATGGGAGGTTCACTGCTTCATTACCTTGATGGCCAAACTACATGTTACCTTTATACATGAGTATCAGTTATGTTTGTGCAACTGTAACTCTGAGTTTCCCACAGTGCAGCAGTCCCACCAGCAGCAGCAGCAGAGGCACCATCACTATGGTGAACACCGTCCTTAAGACGAGGACGACATGTATGAAGAGGTCTGAACAGGGACACATGTCTCTGTGATGAGCTGCAGAGACAAGAGAACATATCTGCTGTAACATCATGACAGTATTAACAGTATGTAACAGGTTGTCTCTGAGAGCTGCTGGAGCACAAGTTGAACACTGACATTTTAAACAGTGTCATGTCTCACCTCTGACAGCCATCCAGCTCTCTGGTGATCCTCCAGCTCCAGAGATGTGACACTTGTAGAGTCCTTCATCAGACTTGGAAACACTGTGGATGGTCATCTCTCCTGTAGAGCTGCTCCTGATGAGGAGGCCATCTTTGTAGAAACCAGCTGTCAGGTGTAAAGAAGACATCTTCTTCCTGCAGGTCAGAGTCACGTTGTTGCCTTCTTCCACAGGGAGGACAGGACTCTCCAGGATCACTGAACCAGCTGAACAACAAAGGTTTTCCTTTAACTTTAAGTTATCAATATATATATATCAAGGGCCTCCTGCACACCTCTTTTAAATAGATACATTTTCTCATGTTTGTGTCTGAGAGGCTCAAATTATCAGCAGCATCTGTCGAGTCTAAAACTAAACACAGACCTGCATACAGCGAGAACTCTGACAACTGGCCCATTAAAAATAGTTCATGCATCAGTGAGTCTGTGGTTTTTAACCTCTTTCTGTGTGTGAGAAAGTCTGACAGTCGCTGCTATTAGCATACACCATAGTCCCAACATAGTCCGAGCAGCAGCACCAGAGCCACCATTAGAACAGTCAAAACAGGTATTTAGAGGAGGGGAAGTGCTTCAACACAAGAGCGTATATCTTCTGTAAAACATGACAGTATTAACAGTATGTAACAGACTGTCTGTGATGCCATGCTTTAGCTTTACTCTGGCACAAATTAAAAATATGTTGGGTTTGTGTTCTGCTCTTTAAAGAACCACCAGTAGATCATATAATATAACCAATAAATAGCACTGCAGATAAATATTCTAATTTTAGCTTTAATTTTTAACAGTGTCATGTCTCACCTCTGACAGCCATCCAGCTCTCTGGTGATTCTCCAGCTCCAGAGATGTGACACTTGTAGAGTCCTTCATCAGACTTGGAAACACTGTGGATGGTCATCTCTCCTGTAGAGCTGCTCCTGATGAGGAGGCCATCTTTGTAGAAACCAGCTGTCAGGTTTGAGGAAGTTGTCTTGTTTCTGCAGGTCAGAGTCACGTTGTTGCCTTCTTCTACAGGGAGGACAGGACTTTCCAGGATCACTGAACCAGCTGAATTTGATGAAATACACTTGTTTGCTGACTTTGTGGGACTTGGTGATATCAATCTCTCCTCTGAGCTCAACATGTTTTCATTTCATCTCAGAAAATAATGTTGTGGATATGAAGCAAATACTTCTCGCAAAACCTTACCAGTGACAGAGATGTTGACACTGTTGCTTCTCTCTCCTCCTTCAGTCTCACACCAGTATTCTCCACTGTCTGATGGATAGACTCTTCTAATAGTGCAAGAGGACCCTGATGATGTCTGCGTAATATGACATGCTGGATCAAACTCCTCAGTGTTCTTGATCACTCTCAGTTTAGTCAAGCCATCAGGCCCTTCACAGTCAAAAGACACAGACTCATATTTAAAGTGCTGCAGTCTGTCTGGAGTGATACGAAGAAAAGCTGCATCTGAAACCAAGGCAGAAATTGTAGTGTCGCTAAAGAAACATTCAGAACTAGATAAATATGATGTTTATGTTAAAACAGAATTGCCAAAATTACTGCGACAGATTAAATTTGGGCTTTTTGCAAAATACATTCTGGTTTTCACTGGCAAAGTGTGCGATCATGTTAAACTGAACAAAATAAGAGGTCAATATTCAACCTTGGTTCTTTAAATGGAAAGAATGATGAACAAAATGCTCAGGGGTTTTTAGAATTTAGTTTTTGTCACTCACCACTTTTCTGAGCATAACTGTTGAGCAGAGTGAATTCAAGCATCACTGGATAAAGAAAGAAGCTAAGTTAAATATCAGACATAGATGGTTCGATATACTGGATGGAAAACTTAGTAAAAGACATAAGAAAAGCTGAGACTCAATACTCACACAGTCTGAAGCAGAGAGCTGTGACCTCCATGGTGTCTTGCTGCGGACTGACTGAGCATCAGACTGAAATACAACTCAAGTACGTAGGCGACAACTTCCTCTTCCTGTTCAGTTTGTTTCGGAGGTTGATGCAAAAAGTGGAGCCAGAGTCACATTGGTTCAACATACAGTTTGTTAGTCTTGGGTTTTAAGCACAAGAGGGTTCTTCGTGGCTTTCCTTTCCTGCAACCCTCTGACACCAAGGAGCCGAGTGCACGATACAGAGACTGCCCTGGGAATCCCCTGCAGCCCGCCTCAATGGGTTCACAGAGGGCCCTCCACCCATTTCCTCTGCAGATCTCCACAAGCTCCTGGTATTTTGCCTTCTTCTGCTCATGGGCCTCCTCAATTTGGTCTTCCAAGGGGACTGTGAGTTCTAGAAGCACTACTTGCTTGGATGAGTCAGATGTTAAAACCAAATCTGGCCTGAGTGTTGTTGTGGCTATGTGCTCTGGAAATTTCAACTGTCTCCCCAGGTCCACCTGCAGCTGCCAGTCACGAGCCAAGACTAGTAAGCCTGTTGCGGTCTTCAGCTGATCTGGAGGCCACTCTCCTGCCCGGACAAAGGCAAAGCTGCGCCTTGCTGGAAGCTGGTGTTTGGTCTGCTGGATGCCTGTGCAGATGGCATCAGCTACTGCCTTCAAGACCTGGTAGTGGCGCCATGTATACTTCCCCTCTCCCAGGGCTTTAGGGCAGCAGTTCAATATGTATTCCAGGGAACCTCTTGCCTGACACAGTGGGCATGCTGGAGTTTCTGCAAGACCCCAAAGGTTAGACGGGCTTGGCAGGACATCATACACCAACTGGATCAGAAATCCGAGTCTTGTTGGTTCCCACTTCCAGATCTCTGTCCAGTTAATCTTTCGTGCCAATGCCTGACCCCAGTTCATCCAGGCTCCTTGCTGACGCATGACCACTGTCCTGCTGCAGCGCTCCTCCTCCACCTCTGCTCGATCTCTCCTTGAATCAGCTGCCTCCTCTCTCTCCCCTGAGCTTTGTCAAAGCGTGGTCTTGCGTGTGTCCCTAGCCCCGCTCGTCTGACCGCCACAGGACATTGTGCCTCAGCCTGGCTTCTGCACGCTCAACAGTCTCCTGAGCCCGCCACTTCCGACCAGTCTTCACAGCAATGCCCGCAGAGGAAACCCTGGTGTCCGCTGAGTCTCTGTAAAGTAGCACCTCCCTGGCACTGGTGACCTTAAACTCCTCTGTTAGGCTGGTGAATGGAAACTGGAGCTTGTTGGTGTGCCCGTAAAGGGCAATACTGCTGAGGCTCTTCGGCAGGCCGAGCCACCTCCAAAGGTTGATGCTTTTCTTGAAGCCTTCTACGGTGGATGTTGGGACTTCTTAAATCAGCAGTGGCCAGAGAAGTCTAGGTAGGATCCCATGCTGATAGATCCATGCCTTGAACTTCCCTGGGAGAGCTGACATATCTGCTGCTGCCAGCCAGGTCTTGAGTTCCTTGTGAGTGGACTGGACTTCTGTTGTGTCTGTCAGTGTCCTATCAAAGATCTTCCCCAGACTTTTCACAGGCTTCTCGATCACTGATGGGATTGGGGCTCTATCC